TATCAGATTTTCAGTGGACTCACGTGTGAGGATTTTGGTTGATCAACTAGCTCCATGTGAGTTTTCTCACTATACTATGTGTGACATTGTATATCCTTTGTATGATATGATATAGGTATTGTTAGGGTACAAGTATGTTAGTAGACTAGATAGTCTTCATTATATATGTAATTGATTGATTGTATGATATTGTTATGTGTCATAGGGATTGTACGTAGTATTGGTTGATCGCTTAGTGAATGTCGTAGGGATTGTACGTAGTTTAAATTGGATAGCATGAGAACTCTAGTCTAGGCCTTTTTTCATGGTTCTTGTTTGATTTATTGCTCTCGGGTAGGATCATATGTTCAACTGTATATCCTATTTATTAGCTACGTACGATTATGCATTCATAAGCGACGTGTCAATATTAGTAATAGCCTCGTTATGATTGTGGCACAACTGAGAGCCGGTGGTTCTATGACGGCTGGGAGCCGGTAGAGGTATGAAGGCAGGGCGCCTATGATTGATATGTTATGCTCTTACCCTGGATCGGTTAAAGCCGAGAGCCTTTTCTTGTATGCATGGTATGTATAGTGGAATGTGTGGTATACTGAGAAACTTATTAAGTTTTGTGTTTACGTTGTTAAGTTAAATGTTTTTAGGTTGTTCGAGGGAAGGGCACGACGTGACTGTACTAGAGTCGATTTTTGTAAACTCTCGACCTCAAAAGGGGAAAACAACATCTGATACCACTAGGCTAGAAGTCATTTGGTTGTTTTGTGTTTTATTAATTATAAAATGAATTACATATTAATACTAGAGTCGATTTTTGTGAATTAAGGCAAAGTTCATGCCCAAAATTGTGAACCTCTTTTTCAACAACAAATTCACGAAAGTTGAATCAAATCCAAAAACTTTCATAAGTTTCTTTAATCATACATATAAACAAAAGAACATGAAATGACTCTTGCCTAGTAGACTAAGATGGGTTGGCCAACAATAAAAAGCTCTGCCCAGCACTTAATCAAGTCATCTTCTTTTATGGTAAGAAAATAGATCAATCAAATAGTTGTACTTGTAATTGGTTGGGACGTTAGACTATAGTCAATAGCAAAAAACCGATTGTAAATAACTAAATAAGATAAAAATAATAAGGTTGGAAAAAGTACAAAAATAAAATAAAAACCATGAACCTTTCCTCTCCATCCAACCAAAAATCGTCCAAGGTTGTCTTCTATATGTGTGACACTTTAAAGGATGAACCCAACCTCTCTTATAAACAAGAAAAAAAGTTATATAGTATTTAATTATATCTAAATTTATTTATTACAATAAATTAGAAATTGCTTCGTCCCCGTTTCGTGGGGGACACAAACAAAGCCGAAATTGCGTAACTACGGAAATGTAAAGAGCAAACAAGCAAATATACAAAACTCATGTGGATTTCAACCTCTTTAATTAAACATGTCAACCTATATATAACCCAATCCAACCATTGTCACCTTACTATACCATAATTTGTAATTCATTTTTAGGCAATATGCATAATATTTTTTTTTTATTTTGACTATTTTGTAGTTTAACCACTAAATTTTACTTTAATAGATGAAAGCTATCTATTTTTTTTTTAATATTTTTTTTTAATCTAACCCTTTATTTCTGGTTTAACAAGTGTTAAAATTAATATAAATTTTCATTACATCACAAATATTATATTATTGAAATTGCTTCTTATTTTCTAGTTTAAGATGTTATTCACATATGTTAGATAGAGAATCTAATTTCAGCAAGTAAGATATGACACATGTCATTTTAACACCTACTAATATGTAAACAAGGGTAACAATGTTTGCACTTAGAAGTTTTTAAAAAATAGATGGTTTCATTGACCAAAATAAAATATAATGGTTAAAAAAATGGTAAAAATATAATGGGTCCTATGTAGTTTTTTATTATTATTATTATTATTTTGAACGACCGTATGTATTAAAAGCTAGCGAAAAACAACTAAATCATGAGGAGATTTTCAACCATTCATTCCAGTTTCGAGTAGTCTTACGATTTCTATGACAATACCAATTAAAAGAATGAAACAATGGAATCAAACAAAAATTCTTTTTTCATCTTCTTGGATCCAAACAGAAGATCATTTCGAAACGTTCACAACACCCAAATCAGGATAGAGCAAATTGAGTCCATAATAACTCGTTTAGAACGTACAGATGTCAAGCCATCAACCCACTGCATCTGATCAATAACATTCGACAAGGTGGGTATAGGCTGGTCCACCCACATCGTCACCTTACTCCAAAGCCGTTGAGCTATCGTGCAATTTAAAAACAAATGCTCAGTATCTTCTCTATCCTGCTGGCAAACCGAGCATAACATCGAATCAATATCTAGACCTCTTCTATCCAAATTCACCCTTGTAGGAAGTTTGTTTAACACCACTCTCCAAATAAAAATGTTAATTTTAATTGGGAGAAATCTATTCCATATCATCTGAATATCACCTGTAGGAAGCTCTAAGTGATCCAAGTAAAGACGAGGCTCCTTCACCACATAAGTATTTTGGGTTCCAACGACCCAACAACAAGAATCTTGAATATCAAAAATATGAACCATCTTTAACAAAGAAGAGAGCTTAATCAAATTAGCTGCAAGCACACCGCCATCAAAATTCCTGGACCACTGGAACCTCCAACCATGACCATCCCAATACTCATTAACCAACGCATCCGCATTACTAGCAATAGCAAAAAGGCGAGGCAACCTGACTCTAAGCATAATGTCACCGCACCAAACATCCTTCCAAAAGCTAATACTTTGGCCATTTCCCACCTTTTTACGCATAGAATCAAAAGGTAAAAAACCTCTATTATCCAGGTCCCAAACCATATTTTCAATACCCAACCACACCCCAGATTTAAGTTTGTTCCGTGAAAACAAAGAGAATCCACCATCACTACCATAACAACTTTTGATGAGATCTACCCAAAGAAGGTTATGGCTGTTTAGAAACCTCCATCTCCATTTATATAAAAGCGCATGGTTGAAAGACTCCAAACTACCTATAGAAAGCCCGCCATTTTCTTTATTATTAAGGACCATATCCCATTTGACCCGGTGGATAAACCGATTCTGATCTTCAGCACCCCAAAAAAACCTAGCTCTACTTCTTTCCAGCTCCTTGCAAACTGACACAGGCATACAAAACATAGAAAGAAAATAAATTCCCAAGCTCCCAAGAACAATTCTCACTAAGGTTAATCGGCCCCCAATAGACAACATACTGGACTTCCATATATAAAGTTTTTTTTTTTCGAAATCTATCAAAAATAGGTTCCCATGTCGCTTTTCTATGCATCAATTGACCAACCGGAAGCCCAAGATACATAAAGGGAATCGAATCCGCCCCACAACCTATACACATAGCAAGCTGTTCAATAGCCTCTTTATTAACACCAATTCCATAAAGTTTGGACTTATGAAGATTGATTTGTAGCCTAGAGGCCATGTAAAAAATTCTAAGAATCCGTATCAAATTCTTAATATTCTCAGCATCCCATTCTCCAAAAAATATAGCATCATCCGCATAAAAAAGATGCAAGATATAAACATTCTGATCACCAATGAACACACCTTTGAATCTTAAATTTTGAGTAGCATCCTCTATACACACATGCAAACCTTCCATAAGAATAAAAAGGAAGGGAGATAACGGATCACCTTGGTGCAGGCCTCTATGCATCTGAAACTCATCCGTAGGATTGCCATTGAGAAGAACTGAAGCCCTGGTACACACAAGGCACCCACGTATCCACATACGCCATCTCTCACCAAACCCCATAATCTCCATAATTCTATCTAAATACTCCCAAGAGACAGAATCATAAGCTTTTTCGAAATCCACTTTAAACAATTTCATTAACCATGACAGACACATCCAACCCATCAAACAATTTCATTAACCATGACAGACACATCCAAGATCTATCTACCTTTAATAAAGGCAGGACTGGGTTAACTAACGAGTCTACCACCTTAGCTAATCTATTACCCAGTAATTTCGCAATGATTTTATACTGTAACCCAATTAAACTAATCGGTATGTAGTCTTTTATCTCCGTCGGATTATCAACTTTAGAGACTAAGTGATAAACGTGGAATTACACCCATGCGAAATTGTGCCAGAGTCATAGAACTCATGCATAAAATCATAAACATTCTTCTTAAAAAGATTCCAGAACTGTTTCAAGAATCGGAAAGTAAACCCATTAGGACCCGAACTACAAATGAAAACCAATAATAATATCTTTATATATCTTTTTTTTTTAAATTTCTTGTAATTTTAAAAAGGGAAATCTCCATAAAAGTCCTAAAATTTTACCCGAATTTACGAAAAAGTCCCAAACTAAAATTTGTTTACGGAAAAGCATGAATTACCGGTAAAAATGACGATTTGATCCATTTTTTCCGGTTTACCGGTTTTATTACTTACATGTTTCACTAAAGTCCCATTATTTTACCCTAATTTGCGAATAAGTCCCAAAATAAAATTTACTAATGATTTGACCATTTTCTTCATGTAACATACATTTTATCGGTTTCATCCAAAAAGATATACAATACATCAGGATATCAAGTTTTATGCTAAACATAGCATTATATAACTCAACATATTCATCTCATCATCTCATTTAATGACTAGGCATCCGGGTCAGCAATGAAACCGGTAAAATGTATGTTACATAGAGCAAATGGCCAAATCATCAGTAAACTTTATTTTGGGACTTATTCGCAAATTAAGGTAAAATAATTGGACTTTAGTGAAACAGGTAAGTAATAAAACCGGTAAACCGGAAAAAATGGGTTAAATCGTCATTTTTACCGGTAATTAATGCTTTTTTGTAAACAAAATTTAGTTTGAGATTTTTTCGTAAATTAGGGTAAAATTTTAGGACTTTTCTGGAGATTTCCCTTTTAAAAATAGCACATAATAACAAAGATTTAGTTTATTTTGAAATAAGACAATTTTTTTTTTCATATTTCTTGTAAACTTATAAACAATAATAATTGATAGTATTAAATATATTTAAAAAAAGATTGGATTTGATTGAATTGTTAACTCTCGACAATCTTTTTTTTTCCAACATTCTATTCATCACCCAGAAGACCACTTTGCTTGTAACTCTCGACAGAATCAACAAGTGTTTCTTCAAGTGGTCTGTAACTCCATCCAAGCTTCTGTAATTTCTCAGATGTAACTGAAAATATCCCATTTGGATCCGTAAATCTGCAACCCAATTGAAGTAAAATGGAGTTAACTTTGCTTTTTGTAATGTAAGGGTAAAATTGTCATTTTATCTCATTCAGACAGTTTATTAGTCTAAAAAAAGAAACAAGCCTTAAACCTTTTTATACATTAAGTCCATTAAGTCAAAAAGAAACAACACCTAATTGTTATGAAAGCAACAGTATATACAAAATATAACAGTTGCTAAATTTAAATAAAAAAAAGAAGTGAACTCACTTGTTTGGATACTTGTAAGCAGGATACAATTTCTTCAGCATTTGCACCAATTCTTTTGCCCTAATCAAATGAGATGTGCATATATATCTTCCATTAGCCTCAGGTTTTTCATATACTAAAACCAATGCTTCAGCTAAATCACGCACATCTACAATCATACGCAGCCTGTTCTCTAGTTCTTCATATCCTTCTGCAGACAAGATGTCAAAAAAGATGCACACCAATTAATATATAAGATAATATTAAACTATTAATACAAATTACAGGATATGAATAATAATATATAAAGTAAAAACCTTTAAGAAGCTTAATAAGAACCAAGCTACTAGCATTCATTGTGTGTTGCAGCATTGGCCCTATAATAAGAGTTGGGCATACTGATAACAAATTGATTCCATTTCTTTTTGAGAATTCAAAAGCTTCACTTTCTGCTTGTGTCTTAGAAAGACAATACCAATCCTGTATTATAATAAAATTGAATTAGATAAAGAAAAAGGAGAAATAGAGTTTTGAATAACTTTTTGAATGATTGTACTTAACATAATAGTAAAGCTAATTACATTATTTGATCTGCAGAAATCTGGGTCGGACCAAAAGGTCTCATCCATGGGTCGATCCGTGGGTTTATTAGGTAGGACAGCAATAGCAGCTACAGAAGACACGAACACGACTTTCTTCACATTTACTTCACAACATGCTTTCAGTACATTCAGTGTACCTTTCACAGCAGGCTCAATCAGTTCTACCTGTAACAACAAGAGAGTGTAATCAATGATAAAGCTTTTCATTAATAAGTCAAACTGCAAAGGGTGATATCAGTCAAATGAGAGGAGAGAGAAGCTTGCCTCAGGGTTTGGTACAGAACCAGATGGAACTGGACTTGCAGTATGGAACACACCATTGCATCCAGCAATGGCTGCAGTAAGAGACTTGTAGTCAAGAAGGTCTGCTTTGAAAAGCTTCAGATTCTCAGATGCGTTCTCAAGGCTCTTCAAGTGAGCATTTTTCTCATCCTCTGAAGGAAAAATGTGTTAAAAAATGAACTTTAGATTTGAGTTTGAGTTACTAATTACTGAGTTTTTGTTTTCAAAATTTCATTGACTTTATATCAATATCGAATTCAAAGAGTTAGGGAACATGTATGCCGATATGTATCTCTCTCCAATTTCTCAATCGGACATCTAATTCGGATGAAATCAAGCATAATTGAAACTGAAAAAATGAAAACGTAACTCTGAAACTTAAAATCGACGAAAATTTTCTATAATCGGAGTTGAGGAAAAAACTTACGAGGGTTTCTGACGGTGCCATGAACCGTGAAGTTCTTAGAGAGCAGGTGCTTCACTAACCACGATCCTACAAACCCTCCTGCGCCTGTTACACACACAACTCTCCCTTTCTCTGCGGCCATTAAGATCGATCTCTCTCCCTCACTTTCTCGAGAGGCGAGTTGACTTATAGGCCCGTCAAACCGGTTGGACTGGGAACCCCTCACCCGGTTTTACGTTGATTTTTGAACCGAGTTGAACCACCCGGTTTTTGGAAAAATCCGGTTGAATCGGTCAAAATAAACCGGTTAAACCGAATATTAAAAATGGAAAACAATCATTTGCATAATAAAAGTTGGTGATTTTTTTTCAACTTTATTTAGTTTTCTCCAAATAAAAACTATATTTTGTTTCGGTATTATATTTTATTTTCTTTTTGACGTATATGGATTGATGTAAAACACTAAAACTTATGATTATGAGTTATTTTAATGTATGTGGATTGATCCACAACTTATTTTTATATGTATTTTTAACGTTTGAACTTGTAAATATCAAATTCATGATTTATATATATGTATGTATGTATGTATAGGAAAATAGGAAAAAGATAAATATTATAGAAACTGGTTAATCCGACGGTCGAACCGGTTAAACCGGGAACCGGTCACCATATCGGTTCAACTAAAAAACCGGTTTTTAAAACATTGGCTACAGGTGAGTGGACTGCGGTGGTGTGTTTAAATTTTGTTCCCGATGTTTCTTTAATTTTTAGAAACACTCACCTTACTACAAGTGACGTCATCTTCATATTATATTTCTATTGGTCTCACAAAACTGACAGATATCATATCACATATTATCAACGAGTGAATAAAATATAATTTAATAAATTATAATTATATAAAATTAATATAAAAAATACTTCATTAATTAAAAAAATAACACACTATATTAAAAATATAAATTAAAAACATACTCAAAATATCAAAAAATAAAATAAAAATTGATCTAATCATCCTCACTAGCCACGTCGTCATAATCCACACCCGAAAATCTTTCAAACATTTCTGAATTGTCATCGGTAGAGTTGAACAAGTCGTCTTCATCAAAATCGTCCACATCAAGATTCATTCGAGCAATGAAGACGTGTTCCACCAAATTCGCACGAAGGTTGTGGTGTCGGACTCGGTCGTATACCTCTGCTTTGTTCGCCATGTATGCTTGCATACCAATACCAACTCATTCTACATTTGGTAAATCCTTAATTTCATTGTAATGACAAATCGTTTTCCCCTCATCTTCTACAATCATAGTATGCAATATAATTCACGCATACATAAGACTACTTATTCGTTTTCGCTCCATAGATCGTGGCGGTGCTGCAAGTATCTGCCAACGTCTCTTTAGAACACCAAATGTTCGCTCGATATCCTTCCTAGCAGATTCTTGGGTCGACTTAAACTTTATTCGCTTTTCATCATTTGTACATGAGAATGATTTCACAAAAGTAGTTAACTCGGGATATATCTCATCAGTAAGGTAATATCCACACTTGTACGATGTCTCATTTGCCTGAAACGACACATCATACGATTTTACAAGGTAGATGTCGTTGAATATTGGCGATTGGTCTAGAACGTTGATGTCGTTGTTGGAACCTGTTGGACAAAAAATGCATGTCATATCCAAAGATCATAAGACGTCAGTGCTTCTAAAATTATTGTTGGCATTTTTTGATCACCTTGCTTAAATTGAATGCGCCACACATTAGGGCACATTGACCACCCCCAATGCATACAATCAATACTACTAAACATTCCAGGGAACCCATGCTTGTTTTCATGTGTTGTATATAGTTGGTGAATTTCACTTATTGTAGGCTTGTGTAAATAGCGATCACAATAGAGAATAATCACAACTCTAGCAAACTTGTATACACATTCCCTCGTCGTTCGCTCTAACATCCTCAAATACTCATGCCATGAGTCCGGTCCCATGTCGAATGCTAGCTGAAGAACTGCAACGATACATTTTTAAATTAAGGAGAATCCTTTTTGACCTTTTCCATTAACTCGCTGTTGAAAATATGGAAATCGATTTTTGATGTCGTCGACAATGCGTAAAAATAATTCATTCTCATCCGGAATCGACGCCTGAATTTTACGGCATACAATGCATCGTCGACAAAGTAGTCATTGACAAGTTGGTTGTGCCCGGTGTTAGGTGTGTCAAACCCAACAAATAATAAATATACAATAGACTCTAAATACACCCATTTAATGCACTATAAAATAGTACAAAACAAGCAGGGTCGAACCACAAAGACACAAGACAATCAGTTTATACCTCTTTGCGCAAGGTACTTTGATCACAAAAGTAAAAAAGGGGATTTTATATGCAATGAATTCAAGTAGAATGATTAAAGAAACAAATAAATGATTAACTAATTGAAACAAATTCAGATTTTAATAAAGACTCCAACTACATGTATGACATTCGGCGATGTGATTCCAAAACGATATGATGTCTACTCAATTCTATCTAAATTGGTACTTGAAAGTGTTAACAAGCTCTAACACTTCCCATTAACCAAGTTGTCAAATTCAAAACAAGCTATTTGATAATAACTTAACCTTCTAGTTTAAGTCTAAACAACCTCTTAGATAGAAATCAAAAGGTTGCAAAAAGATTTATGTGAATGTTTCCAACATCTAATACTCCTCACAAGCTTGGGAGCGTAAGAGCGTGTGAATAAGATTTACACTAAATTCATTTAATGAAAATCAATTTAGTGCTTGTTACTTAGTCCAATTCACAAAACAATTACAGATTTTGCAATTAGATAACTTGAATGACCTAACCCTAATTACTAATATTACTAACAACGGGGAGTGGATAACCGCTCCCTGATTTTCAGTTGTTCGATCTTCTTAGTATGCAATCCTGACCGTAATAACTTGGTATTTACAGGTTTTTGGCAGTTTATTCTTCTTCCCCACGCTCTGCACAATCGTCGATTGTCTCATCTAAGATCGCTTCATCCCTTTGATAACCGTCTGATTTGCCTCTATATATTATTGCTTTCTGATTTTGTGATTGCCTTTTTTTTGTTGCCTAATTCGTCGATGGGAGTTAAAGTAAGGTTTGTTTCTCTTAATAACCTTCGATTCCCATCAACCTTTCTCCTGGAATCAAATATAGCTTACTATACGACAAATTTAATTTCAATTTTGAAATCATGTTTTTCGATTGAAGTTGTATAACCCTAGAAGCAGTTCTCTTAGATTTTTCCTTACAAACACAGTGGTTTCTGGGATTGTTATCGTTCTCCGACAGCGACAATGTCTACCCCCAAGGTCTCCGGTAAAGATTACTCTCCATCCATTGTTCTTAGTGATCGGTTGTCTTTGGTTCTTGACATCTTCTTACTTTTCTTGGATGCTTTGTCATGATGCCTCAATCTTAAGACTCCAGCCAAGGTCAGTAAAGATGCAATTTGTTTTGTTTTTATTTATGCTAAAAGCAATTAACATTGTATTCATTGATTTCTCTTTATCAAATTTGAAACTTAGAATTAGAAGTGAATTTAAAAAAAAAGTTGAACGACATGAAGAATCAGAAGCAACTACGGCTTCAAGTCTGTAATTTCTTTGTTTTTTTATGTTTGTTTGTTGGATGCTTGAATTAATTAGGTTTTATTTTTCATATTTCCTATTTTGTATGGATGTTCATGTTCTTCACTTTGATATTGGTCCAGTGGTGTACACTATTGTGTGTTCATCTGAGGTGGCGTTTATCTCTCTACACTCAAACGTTTGCGTTTTAAAGTGACCGATCATCTAATTTCTTCACTCAGTAGGTCCTCAAGCCTTACAATGTAAATCAAAACATTTACTTATCTCCATTTACTAAAAAATGCTCTAAGAGTTTAATTAAATGCTTTGAATGTCATGGGATGCCATGTTTATTATTAGGAAGGCCTTTCTCCAGAGGATTTTCATAAATTCCTCCCTAACGTCGACCTTAATCCCCCAATTACATCACATGTGCTTCAATTTGATCAAATGTTGTTTATGTGAAGTCTGTTAACCAAACCTCCAAAAGAGTACCTTGCAAAGATAGGCACAAGATTTATTTCCGATGCAAAACCAAAAAGTGAGTTCAACCACTTCTATATGATCTTAATCCAATGAATTATTTCTAATTCTATATTTTGATTTGCCTATGTGACAGTATGTCATATCATCAAAAACATTTTAAGGGAACATGTAATTGTGCAGTTGGTTCAAGATCTTAACAGCTAATTTTGATGAAAATAACAAGGTGTATAGCTTGATCATGTTGTTGCATTCTATTGTCACCTCTTAGATCGATTGATGAGTTGACTCGGTTGGGTTGAATCAGTTGATTTATGGATTTTGACGAAGTTTGACCTTAAGGGTATTTTGGGATTTTGATTGTGATTGGTCACTTGAATGGTTAGGTGTCGGTTGGAGCTGAGATTCAGAGTCGAGACCTCATCAACTTTTGTTCAGTTTGTGAGGTGAGTTTTCCTCACTATACTTACGGGTTGAAGTCACCAATGCCGACCCATTGGTTTGATATCCTGCTATTCTCTGATATACTGAGTATGGAATAGATACGCATGATTATGCTAGATGTCGATATGCTAGTTTGGTAGATCTGTAGGACTACCTGTGATTCTGTCTGCATGATTATCTGTATATGTTGTTATCTATTATATGTCAACATATTATGTTGGGTTGAGGTCGTACTGCTTCGTGCGGTAGCCAACAAACCTTGGATCATTCCAGATATGAGATGAGGGTCGGGCAGGGCATGCTAGAATCATACCGAGGACTCAGGAGCATTCCAGATACGAGCTGAGGACCGAGTGGTATGTCAGACTCGTACTAAGGGCTTAAGGGTGTTTCAGTCCGATGACTGATTTTGTCAGGGAGCAAGCCAAACATAAGCTTTGGGCCCTAGGGCAAGCCATAATTATGTTGTGGGATCAGGGGTAATCTAGTCTTTTAGTTGTGGACCCAGTACATGCTGTTATTGTATATGTTATATGCTTATGTGTTGGTACTTTAGGGGAACTCGCTAAGCTTTGGCTTATGGTTTTTAGTTGTGGTTTCAAGTACTTCGGATGATCGAGGGAAGTCGAAGGCATGACCGTACACATCCTCTTGT